GCATGTCATTCATCTTATGTTCTTGTTCCGGTGAGCCAGGCTATGTCCCCTTCATCCTAAGCTCTCTCTCTCTCTCTCACATTTCCATTCTCCTCCTGCCCGATTCCAACAGGAGTTTGGGTGGATGGAGTTCTTCGCCGGCGAAGCTCGCTGCACTGAGCACGTGCTACAGCATGGCATCCCTGGCTGTCGTTTCGACATTCTATACTTCAATCCCGAAGATCATATTGGTCGTGGTTCGAATTATATGGATTTGAACGGTGCCTCAGGATATGCGCGGCTTTGCTGATAGATCGTGATGTATCCCCTTGTGCAATGTTTGCCCGGAGTTGCGCCAGTGCCTTGCTTCGCTTAGGCTTGCAATTCTGTTCCTACTTCGGTGCCGCCCAGATGACTTTGTTGCTTGGTTCGGCATCAAATGCAGTAGCTTCGTCTTCGCAAACAGTGGGACCTCTTCCAGATGCCCATGCTCAGCCACCGGAGACAGCTCGAAACCCTCCGTTCAATACTCTAACAAGTTGCTCGAGAGGCCTGCTGAGACTAGATCTTCATGCCTGCAGTTCGTCTCAGTAGAATCAGTAGAATATACACCTGTGGAAGCTGCGACATCAAATTGTTGCTCGCAGGACAGCTCTGCTTCTGATGCTGACGACGGCTTTGGGTGGATGTTGGGTTGTTGAGCAACCCAGCTCTTCGACACTCGAGTTTTACCCGGCCTTCAGGCAGCTGCTTTGCAAGATTGCACAGGCCCACGGCAGTATGGCAGCAGCCAGGATCCTAGGAAGTGCAGCCATTCACGGTCGTTGGTTTTAATGGAGCTTGAGGGCTTCGGGTAGTGCAGTAGGAAGCCTAGATAAAGGTCGGTGTGTGTCCCAAAGACAGATAGAGTCACAAGCACGCACACATGCTCCGCACACGCACACACAAACATGCATACATGTAAGTTTGATATGTACAATGCACATGTACACACGCTTACAGCCCACACCGGTGATCGAGGTGCTATATAAAGGGGACAGGACTGATAACATAGCATTTTTGTTTGAATGTGCGAATACGACACAGGTGGTCAAACCAAGTAGTGTAGTTTAGCTAGGTTTAGGTTGTGCGTGAACATATGTGTGTATACGCACATACATACACACACACACAAACACACACACACACAGACAGAGAGATGAAGTAGAGTTTCTTTGAGGAGTTCCGCAACCCTAAACCCAAACCCTAAACTCCCCAAAACTACCCTCAACTCCACAATCCCTAAACTCCTAAACCCTGAACTCGTGTAGAATCATTCTCGTAGAACCCTGATGAAAGCTAGAATCTAGAACCCCACAATTGTATGGAGCCCGTATGATTTATAAAACCCAAAACCCAAAACCCCCAAACCCTAAACCCCTGGCTCGGGCTATCCTGGGTTGGTACGACTGAGATTCGATGGGTACGTGTGCTACAATTGAACTTGAAGCTGTGCTGTCAAACTGTATGTAAACACTATTGGGCTACCTTTGCTCAGGTCAGCAGGGTCGGCTGGTGGATGAGGTGCTTTGGTGCTTCAACGGACAAGCGCCAATATGCTTATGCCAACTCGCCGCACATCCGCAAACTCGACAGAGGCCAGTTGCCAAGGAATCGTAAAGCCGACAAGACGCCGACTGCCACCTCGGTTCGGTACAGAGATGAACATGGAAAGAAGTGCTGGCATGGTACTGCTGAGTTGAAACACACCGAGATCCTTGGTTCATGTCACGTATGCAATTCACAGATTTCTGTCTGTGCCAGAGGCATATATATATATATATATCATGCATGGTGTTTGTGAACGTCAATAGCTCAGGACCTACCCGAGCGACTTTGGAGCTTCTGTGGCTGCTCTGTATGATGAGCTGAAAAGCACAGCGTGCGGCTGCCCTGCCCTTCCTGCCAAGTTGCCCTCTGCCCTTGAAGTGTTCGAAGAGCATCCCGAGATTCTGGCTTTGTTTGCTGGGGCTGACCTGGATGCAGTGTACATATACCTGAGAGGTTGCAAATACCTCTGCATCCCTGCTGTCTGGAAAGAGCATTTCCCGGTCAAGGTGGCAGGCTCACCCGGAGGATCCCGCAAGCGAGCCCGAGAATCCCCAAATTCCCGGAAAGGGCGGCGAAGCAGCCCAGGAAAGGCCCCGGTGTCCCGCAAGGTCCCGTAAAGCTTCTTGCAGATCCCTCTTTAAGGCCCCAGAGCAGCTTTCCGAAAACCTAGGTGCGTAATTCTTTGGTGCTGTACTAGTTTATATAGACTTATAGAGGGTTTTACATAGATTTGGACAAATCTAGACGGGAAAAACTGGGTTTAGGGGCCTAGAACCCGGTTTTACCCATCGGCGAACCCATATTTAACCATCGGAACCCGTAATTTAGGCTAAAACCCACTTTTGTAGAACCCGTTTTTACCTGTCACGCAACCCGTTTTTAGGCGTCGGGAACCCGATTTTAAGCGTAGGGAAAAAGAGGGTTCAGCACATGGGGCCCGCAAGCTGCCCCAAGCGCCTGTGATAGCTTTTTTCAGAGCTTTTTACGGGCCATGTCTATCCAATTCACGACCAGACGTGCCCTAGCACTGCATGCTCATCTCAGAAATTGCCAGCGCTTCTCACGATGGCCAAGCAACCCATATTGCCAGCTTGTCTAAAGCTGCATACCCTGGCTAAGTGCTCGAGCGGGCTTGTGCTTTAAGCCACACCGGTGGCTGTGGAGGCCGGCATGTCCCGGCAATGGAGCTGTGCTACCCTTGGGCAAGGGTCGATGCAGGTGGAACAGGATTTTATCGGGCAGGCAGGTCCTGCTGCACTTGCTGAATATGAAGAACAGCTGCTGAAGCAAATCGAGGCTCCTAGATAGCCAAGAGACCGAACTGTCGTGAGAGTGTGTTGTGAGTTGAAAGCCAATCGGTGTCCGGTTTATCATCCAAGGCAATGGAAGCTTCCATTGCTGCTAGTGAGGCGCCAAAGCTATGTTTCCTAGATGTCGTAGATGCCATACCAACTTGTAGGCTTTTAATTGCTGCCAATCAACAACATCATGCACGACAGGCCTCGACGGAGGCATCTCCAGCAGAGTTGCTACGGGACGCAACTCAGATCCGTTTGGAGTCTTAAGCGAGATCTTATTGTGTATCAGTTTCATCTATGCATCAATGATTCAAACCAACTGCCTGACAAGGGCCCTCCAGCTGCTACCCCGGCACCCGAAGAGTCTGCTGCTCCACCAGCAGCACCAAGCGATGCCCTAGTCAAGGCCAGGTTTGGTGGTTTCGATTCAAGACACAACAAACCCAAGTCGTTTATGCAAACAAGGCCTTTGCCTCTGCCAGCAATCTCCGAAAAATCAACCCTATCATCTCCTGACAGGAGCATGAAAGTGATGACGACGGCCAGGAGGATGGTGACGGGGAGCCAGCAGGCAAGCGCCGCAGGAAGACCCGACGAGTGGCTTGGCTCGTGCATTTTCGGAAGCATGCATGCACCGCTTGGTGAATCCTGTGAGTTGCTTCTTACTGAACATTCCGAGGAGTTGTTGCGAGAGGCTGCAAAGGCTCGGATCAGGAGGATGGTTAGGCCTAAGAAGAGGCGAACCGACCTTGTCGTGCCCGCATCGATCAAAGTTCATTGGGACAAGGGCCACTATGAGAAGAACTCAATGGCTGATGTATTGCTCCACCACAACGGCGATAAGGCCTCCTAGAAATTCTTAAAACCCCTAGGCTAACCTGAAGCCCCGTGGTCACCGTAGTCCATACCCCTGAGCTATCCTCTAATGCAGAACAAATTCATCGCCACGGTCGAGACCATGATCGAGAAGACCAACAAGGTCGAGTTGGTAAAGGACTGTGGGTGGTATAGCGAAAGCGAAATGAAGTCAGAGCTGGGATGGTCAGCGCCGCTCATCTGTCCGAACCTATCTTCTTAAGGCACTACTGGGGGGCGCTTACGGTTGTGTTTGAACTAAAACTGTCTGGGGTTTCCTGATCGTCTTTAGTTGTGGGGCTGCTCTCCAATGTGTATGTATGTATGTATGTATGTAAGTATGTATGTATGTATGTATGTGTGTGTATGTATGTATGTATGTACGTATGTATGTATGTGTGTATGTATACATGTATACATGTATGTACATATGTACACATATGTATATATGACATATGTATGTGTGTGCTTGTATGTGTACGTACATACATACATGCATGCATGCATCTACATATACATACACAGACATATCCATATACATACACATATACATATACACAAACATATGCATATACATATGTATGTATGGATGGATGGATGTATGTCTGTATGTAATGTATACACACATCTATCTGTCTTTCTATCCAATCTATCCATCTATTTATCTATCTATCTATCTATCTATATGGATATGCATATATATATATGCATATCCATATATTGTGGCCCTATGTGCTGCCTTGGCAACGGGGCATCAGTGTCAGGGTTGATTATCTTTTCAGGTTGAGTAGGGGCTTAAGGGTTTTATTGCAGAAGGTCTTTAGGGTTAATGCGGGTGTAAAAAGCAGCCACAGGTTCCGCCGAGGCCCGAAAAAGCTTATCCAAGGTCCCGTGTCTCCGGTGCAATCAAGAAGTGCCAGCAGGATCCGGCCAACCTGATCAGGCTTGCTTGTGCTTCCACCGGTATGCACAGTCAGTTGCTCACCCCGATGAATTTTGTTTCCCCCTAGGTCCAACGAATACGACAATGTCCTGGAATACTGGATCGTGGTGCGAGAAACAGGAAAGGAGACCCAGGCGATCACGCAGCGCGAGACCGAACGTAAAGTTCAAGAGGCGCCTGTTCAAACAAACACAACGTGAGCCCCCAAATCATAAGCTATCCTGCTGGCAGGCAACGGACGCCCCCACCATCGACGCCCACTCGTTCGACAAGGTGAAGGCCTTCAAGGAGCGATCCGATGCAGCCGCTACTCCCACTGCTAAGCAGTCAAACGCCGAGGCCCTATCATGTGAACAGTCTAAACCTGCAACTGCACCTGCAACTACATTTGATGTGTCCCTTGCTCTCTCTGCCAGCAAACGGCCGTGTACCAGCGCTTCCAAGAATCCTTGCTGAACAAGTGCACCAAACTGCGATCGCTCGTGAAAGACTTACGAGACAACTACGGGCCGGATGCAAAGACGTCAGCTTCCCAGGTAGCATGCATGGTGCAACAGGTCACATTTAGGAGTAGGTCTATGGAAGAACACGTATTGCAATGGGGCTTCAAGGTCTATCGCTCAGCTTGAATCCCACATCGCAAAGTTGGAGAGTGAGTACCGTGGCCTCTCCGATGATCTCACGAAAGCCGAAGCCGACTCGTTTCCTGCCAAGCGGCAGCCCGAGCTCTTGCATCCATAGGTTGCGAGCACACATCAGGTTCATGGGGTTCCCTGAATGCGAACAGCAAAACCAAAACTGTAAACCTTCAACTGCTATGAGCTTGCAAACCTTTCTAGAAGACCCAGACTCGAAAGAGTCGACCCTGGCCCAGACCCGCGAGCTGAAGCTTCCGGTTCGCTTTAAAGTTTCAGGGGTTATGCCAATGCCTATATGTATTTGTATTGAATAGCAGATTATATTTTCAGTCCGGGAACAGGAAATTTAGTTTGGGATGACAATGTTGTGCAATGAGAATATCTGTTTCACTGTGGAGAAACCTAAAGAGAACGACACATGGATATAAGGGTTGAGGGTTCAGGGTTTTTGGATAAAACTAATACATACATACACACACACACATACATACATACATACATACATACATACATGAATACATACATGAGTACATACATACATACATACATACATACATACATACATACCTACGTATGTACATACATACCTAGATACACATATACATACCTACATACATACATACATACATACATGCATGCATGCATACATACATACATACATGAACTGAATTAAAACTACTTCTATATGTGTACATGTACCCAAACCTGATTGAAACACTAGCCTGGATGAACATATTTGCACACATCAGGTCTTGGGCGACACTGAACGAGAAGATGAAGGCTGCTACGCTCGTGCTGGACACCCAGAATACCTCTGAGTGCATCGTCTGCCTCCGACAAAGGCTAGTACGGTTGAATCTTGTGATCCCGCCTATGCAACCTACAATTCACACTTGTGTAATAATTATGCAGCTCACTGCCAACCCGACACGCCGAGGGCCTCTCGGGCCACAGCAGCCGATCTCCAGATCAGGCGGACCTGGGACACGGAAGTATGCTTGGGATCATATAAGATTAGGAGTGAGTCTGTGCCGTCGATCAGGAATGCCAAGAAGTTCTTCGCACGCAGCGCCAAGGACAAGGAGAAGCAGAGCGATGGGCCGAAGACCGCAACAGCGAAAACCGCACCCAAAGCCAAAGCCAAACGTGCCAAGCCTGCCAAGAAGTAGATGGAGGGAGCACTTCGATGCACAACCCATCACGATAGAAAGCCACTGGGTCCTTTCTCAGAATTTAATATCCCACAATTGTTGTTTCGGCCTTCTTGAGATAGGGTTGTGCATGTTTCCGACAGTGCTGGGAAGGTTTTTAGCATGCTGTGGCATGAACCACAGGTGCATACGAGTAGCTACTCCTAGTCATAGCCCGGGGTGTTAGCTGGGGCGACTGTTCGGATCCTGGGCACGCGAGCTGAAGGGCCAAAAGTCGTTGCTGAAGATTTTGCTGCTTCCCGTTTTCACCCCGAGGACTTTTACCACTATGGTTAATTAAGAGCCTCCTAGTCTGCGACATGCCAGGGGCTGGGCCAGCGGTCCGCCATTGGGTGCGAGAGGTTGGTGATGGAGCCAGGATCCTGGAGAGTATGTTCGTGTATGTGTGTTCGAACACGTTGTGAGTGCTGTGTAAAAGCTTAGGGGCCATACAGCAGTACCTGAGGCATGTTTAAAGGGTCTTTCAGCACAAGGCTGTTGAGGTTCATGGGGTTCAGGGTTTCAAGGTGTTAGGGTGTTTTATGGGGCTTCATCTTTTATAGGTGTTAGCAAAGTTCTGGTTTCGTGGAACTCACCACCAATACTTTGTCTGTTCTACCAGTAGACATGTATTTGAAAAGATTCCTTGACAACTCCCCCTAATTGTAAGCCCCCCAAATCATGCCTGTGTTGTTCCGGCCGACAATGTAGTGCCCTCTTGCCAGTCCCCCGAATCCGGTTCTTCATTTCCATAATGTATGTCCAGCTAGTTATTTTTCCCTGAAACCAACTCCACAACCTCTATCTCTCATTAGAATGCAGTCCTCAGATTGTTCGGCAAAGCAGCGGCACCATGGCAGAGCCTCAGCTTAGGCAGTTGACACCGAAGGGTTCTTGTACTCTACCTAGCAAATCGTAGAAACAATGTCCATCGACTCCACTCCCATCAATGCTGCTGTGATGAACCTCAACTAAAAGAAGCACATGTTGGAAAGCCCCGAAATCTCTTCTTCTCGAAACCCTCGTCTTCACTCAAAACCTGAACATCTTCGCTGTATATCCCGGTGTCGCATCATGAGATTGTATACTCGCTTCTCCCAACCCGACATCACGAGCATCGAAGGGTCCATGCACGTGGTCTTTCGCCGAGGCTGCTTGCAGCAGTGCTGTTCGTGGTGCACGAGCAGTTGTCGAAGAGCTGCCGGCTGCTAGGGGGACATCCATCGGGGTACTGGCTAGGTGCGCGGAGTTTAATGCCGAGCGGGCCGTTCACAGACTGGCTCGACGCTATAGATTGGCTCTTCCTGTTCAGCTGTGTATGATGCGGGGTGCTTTGGACGAAGATGTTCCATACTTGCCCATGAGCTCCTGGGCTCAGTTTTTCATGAATCTGAACTTGTGGCACACCCTGTGTGGAGTGCCAGAACCCAGCCCAGCTCTGTGTGAGGCTCAGTGGCTGTCGTTTTGGGACAAGTATCGGATGCTGCACCCAAAGCACCCGGTTTTCCATCGGAGTCGTGATGATCTTTCCAGAACGGCAGCCATAATATTACATGGAGACGAGGGCAGGACTCGCAAGAAAACACAGATAATGATCCTCTCAGCTCACTCGGCCATTGGTCAGGGCACCAGAGTCAAAGGTGCACCGCAGACTGGTCAATGCTTGAACTACGCAGGACATACATGGGCGACAAGATGGCTTTTGAGCGCCCTTCCCCGCTTCATGTATGATGATGACCGCGAGCAAAACTTTCAGTCTATGATGGGAACATTGGTGAACGATTTTTTGGAGCTCTTTACACGTGGGGTCGCATCGAACAATGGCAGACGCTTCTTTTTTTGTGTGATCAACTGCATAGGGGATTGGCCCTACGTACAGAAGGCCTTTGGGTTCAACAGATCATTCAGTAATTCTGCCAAACAACCCACTGCAAAGAAACCTTCCCGTGGTATTTGCCACCACTGCCTAGCTGATCGTCCAGGGTACCCTTGGGAGGACTTCGAGTCAAGAGAACCACGATGGAGACGCACGATGAACACCGAGGACCCGTTCGACCGAAGCCCCCACCTGTTCCGCTTGCCGTTTGATCCTGATGATAAGATGTCTCTGGTTGGACAAGACCTCTTCCACGGCTGGCACTTGGGGGCCGGCAAAACCTTCATGGCATCAGCTCTGGCATTGTTTTCGGCCGAATGGCCGGGCCGTTCTCTCGAGGCTAGATTCGATGCTATGGTGGCCAACTTTTTCCAATGGTGCAAAGACAACCGCCAACAGGCATACATTCGGAAGCTCACTCGCGACACAATAAATTGGAAGCTCAGCACGGATTTTCCTACTGGAGGCTGGTCAAAAGGATCAACAACACTGGTTCTCATGAGATGGTTTATTTCAGCCTGCCGGGAATGCGCCACAAGCATTGCAGAGGGCTCGCTGTTGCGGGTGTGCTTCAATGCTGCGCTGAACATGAATCTGTTCCTCTCAAAGCTCTACCGGGAGCAGGTGTGGATTGAATCTTCCAGAGCCACAGAAATCGCTGATCACGGTTTCAAGTTTCTCCACTACAATGCATTGTGTGCCAAGCAAGCATTTGACGAGAACAAGGCATTGTTCCTCTACATGCCTAACTTACATAGGCTTCATCATATATTTTTTCAGATGCGGGACGATGCACAGCGTGCTGCTTATGCACTGTCGCCATTGATGGTCGCCTGCCAATTGGAGGAAGACTTTATAGGGAGACCCAGCAGGGTCTCCCGTAAAGTGAGTCCGAGGTTAACGATTCTACGGACGATACAGCGCGCTTTGCTATCGGGGCACGCGCAATTTGTCCGAGCTGGTTGGCTCCTACCAGACAAGGATCCCTGAAATATACATATGTGTTTAAGTAAGCACTCATGAGCATTACTCCAACTCTCTCTTCAGTGGTTCTGTCTCTGGATGCTCAGCCATCGGCACAGGAATCGGAGTCGAGCGTCGTCAGGACGCACAGCAAAAAGGCCACATAGACGCGGGCAGGTTGATTCAGAATTATTGCTTCCCTAATCCCCTGAAGTGCCCCAACCCTGCAGCCCTTGTCATCGATGCAACCCCCTCACCAAGCCATAAGCTTTCTGAAGTCATCTACTCAGCATCCTCAGTGTCATGATACTACGAACGCATCCACAGTTGAACTTTCCTTACAACACCCCAAACCCAAAAACCCGGTTTTCTAAGTCAAAACCGCGTTTTAAGTTCGAACCCTGTTTATTCTGGGTTTTGGTTGTAGCTGGCAGGGTTTAGGGATTTAGGGGTTCAGGGTTTAGGGGTTTAGGGGTTTAGGGGTTCAAGGTTTAGGGGTTGAGGGTCTAGGGCTTTTGGGGTTTAGGGGTTAGGGTTCGGGGTTTAGGGGTTTAGGGGTTCAGGGTTTAGGGATTTGGGGGTTCAGGGTTTACGGGTTTAGGGGTTGAGGGGTTCAGGGTTTAGGGGTTTAGGGTTTAGGGCTTTGGGGTTTAGGGGTTTAGGGGTTCAGGGTTTAGGGATTTAGGAGTTCAGGGTTTAGGGGTTTAGGGGTTTAGGGGTTAGGGGTTTAGGGGTTGAGGGTTTAGGGCTTTTGGG